CAATTCCTCCAACACTTTTTCGGGAGCCACACATTGCCCCCTTTCATCAGGGCTTACATATACCAAGTGAAGTTACTGGCCTCAGGTGAGACACAGAGATAAAACAAATCCTCCTACCTATGTTGTACCTGTTTATCTGCAGTCTTCTCCTCTCTACATACATTCAAAGTTTAAAAGCTTGTTTGAGAGTTCAGAGCTGAAATTACACACAGCAGAGAGCTCTGAGAGCTGATTGGAGGGAAGAGACACCCAGCCCCTTTTACACAGCACACAGCAACAGGGCTGAGGCTGTCAATCTGCTGGAGCTCCCTCCCCGTCACCTTTTTTCTCTTTTTGTCAAGAAGCTTGTCAGAAGTGATTCCTGCTGATAGCAGAGGAACAAAGCCGCAGACAGAAATGACACTTGATGCTCTGGATTGAGACAAGTACAAACTATACAGGGATATGCTTCGTTCATACTTCATTTCTGAGGTTTGCAACCACTTTAAAGGGGAATAGTTCTGATTAGGGATGCACCGATACCCTTTTTTTTATCGGCGAGTATGAGTACAGATACTTTCAGTCAAGTACTTGCCAATACTGATGACTGATACTTTGTGGTGTGATTTGCATCCATACAAAATGTATGGACACAAATTGCACCACAAAGAATAGCATGCGATCTGAACAGGAATGTGATTCCTGTTCAAATTACATGAGATTCCTCACTGCTCCTGTGTGAACCCAAGCTGTCATAGAGTTCACACAGGAGTGGTGCAGGGAGGTTTCCTGCAGTGGAGAGTGGGCGTGTGGGGAGGTATACTATGGAGCAGTGGCATCCCTAGGCGGGTGCGGGGGGTGTGCGCCGCACCGGGTGACACCTATCGCACGGGGTGACACCAGACCCTTTCCATGAGCTCCACGAAAACGAAAGTTTAAAAGCAAGCCGACAACCCCCGCAAGATGGATCGGATCTGCGGATTGAGCATAATGGATTGGAGTCCGATCCATTATGCTCTCCAATCCACAGATCCAATCCATCTTGCGGTGGATCATCGGCTTGCAGCCTATATGGTGTTAACTGACCTAGGTAGGCTGCGCAAGATCCGGGACTTGTCTGTAACCAGGAAATGCGGCCGCGACAGCAGGAACCTCCAACATCTGACATCACTTCTCGAGTATGTGCAGACCGGATTGGTGTTGAAAGATCAGTCATCCCCGCATAGGTTGCAAGCCGAGGATCCCCACAAGATGGATTGGATCTGCGGATTGGGAAGCATAATGGATCGGACCCTGATCCATTATGCTTAGTCCGCAAATCCAATCCATCCTGCGGGGATCGTCGGAGGGGTGACACCAAATGTTACCGCACCAGCTAACACCAACCCTAGAGGCACCCCTGCTATGAAGGCAGATGCTCCATATTCTCAGTGGTAGGAGAAGAGAGAAAGCAGTGGGGATTTGAAATCCCTGCCACTTTCTCTCCTCTCCTTGCAGGGATGACAGTTCGGGCTAGAGGGCTTCTGATTGGTAGAACCGTCACATGAATAGTACTGACCAATCAGATGCCATCTAGCCTGAACTGTCATCCGTGCAAGGAGAGGAGAGAAAGCTGCTTCACAGATCTGGGGATTTGAAATCCCCACAACTTTCTCTTCTCTCCTTGCAGTGATGACAATACGGGCTAGACGACATCTGATTGGTCAGTAATATTCATTTGACGGTGCTTACCAATCAAAAGCCCTCTAGCCTGAACTGTCATCCCTGCAAGGAGTTCTTTGTGGTAGGAGAGGAGAGAAAGCGGCGGGGATTTCAAATCCCCGCCGCTTTCTCTCCTCTCCTACCACAAAGAACATGGAGCATCTGCCTCCATAGTATACATCCCCACATGCCCACTCTCTGTTCAGCATGGGATTCCTGCAGGGAGGTTTCCAGCACCGCTCATATGACAAGCCTGGGTTCACACAAGAGCAGTTCAGAAACCGCATGTGATATGGATATCATTTCTGGTATCGGGAGCATTTTTACGAGTATGAGTATGTTATGGACCACTTGGTGTACTCTAGCAGTCCACAGGACAGGACTACCCAGGGCGCGGAGTCTAAGCCCCAGTCCGCTTGTTCACCAGAGCCCCTTATGGTGGGGATGGGCTTGGAGCGAACAGTGACCAGGTCGTGGCCCCTGAGTACACCCACCTGAGGTAGAGGAATCACCAGAGGTAATGACAGGTAGAGAGCCTGACGTGAAGAGGCAGACAGGTCTGGAGAGTAGCAGCTAATCCGTGCGGGTCGGATGGATGGCTGAGCAATAGCGTGGTCAAATGGGCCAGGTTGGTAACAGAGGGTTCAGTGTAGTACAAGGCAGCAGGCAGAAGGATAGTCAGGTCACTCGCCGGAGTCGGTACCAGTAGTTCAGATCAGGTAGGGATATCCAAAAGAGAGGTCGAACTTAGCCAGGGGTCAGAGCAGGAGAAGTCAGCAGGGGTCAGGTCCAGGCAGGTCAGCAACGAATCTCAAACAACGGCAATACAGGAACACAGGAACAAGATCAGACCATACGGCAACTTGTGTCTGTGCAGGGCTGGTTTAAGTAGCCCGCCCTGCACCTGACAGGTGCAGCCTAGGTTCTAGTAGTGCCTGCCCAGCACCGTCATAGGTGCCGGGTGCGCCTGGGTCCTAGTGCCCTGCTGCCTGCATGTCTTGACAGACACCTACGCATGTGCAGACCCATGCGTCGTGATGGTCCCTGACAGAGTAGTTATGAAAATACTTGGTATCAGTACCAATCTCGGTATCGGCATTGATACCGGTATTGGTGCATCCCTAATTTTGATCCACTTTTGTCACGTTGGACAGGTATGTTTTAGAGCAGCCAAAATGCATCAGTGTGAAAGCAACCTTATGCAGCAGGAATCCTCTGTATGTCCCTAATCACACATGGTAGCCCCTCTAAATGAGTTTACATCTACGTGTTTGCCATAACAACCATTGTTTTAGCACAGAGAGCCAATGAGAGCTGAAAATAGCAGTCACGTGGCTGAAAATAATGATTGTTATAGCAAATCCGTTAAAGCTTAGTGGGCTGAGCCTATTGTTCCAATTACATTCTTAAAGGCATGACGGTACCGGCGTGATTGCCTATCTTTCATGTCCAATATTGCATCTTGATGTAAAGCTTCATTCTCCTTGTCTGATCTTGCTCCCATCCCCTGACATCACATAATGAGTGCAATATCCCATTTTACGTGCCATCGTTACCTATCTTTATCCCATCCTCTGTTGCTCATCTCACGTCATCAGTGCCTGACACGACTTTTTGTACCTACGATTCATTTTTGTCGGTTTTGTGCACTTCATACGATATTAGATCATTTGACTGTCCATTGTGTGTTGTGTGGTCCCACGATCAGACCCCCCCTCTGTACATGCTACATCTTCTGACTGTGTACTGAATTGGGACATCACTGTAAGTGCTCTCTGTGCTTGATATAAAATCCAATTACTCACCGCTCACCCCGATTCAGCTGTATCCTCTAACATCTGCTGTGACTGACACAGTATCACATATTTTGACTGTCTGAATATCCTACAGCCACCCACGCTGTCTAATTAGTTAATCACTGGCTATTTCATGCTTCCGTTAAAAAAAAAAAAACAACAAAAAACACATCATCCCACTCTGTTTAATCTGTGCACTACTGATGGTTTTAGGCTTGTTTATGAAGGCCATGCAATGTACAAAGTGCAATAGCTTAGGCTAGCCATATCTGACCTACAGTCATCAGTGGGAAGCATCTATGCGACTGGTTGCTTATCACACTTGGCTTTGAGCTTTTTTAAAACAAGCCCAATTATCTTTCAGTTGTGCACTCCATCTGATATTACATCTTCCACTGCATTTGAAATCATATCCCCCCCCCACCCCACGACCGTATGCTGCATTTGATCTCATATCCTGTGAAAGTGCACTTTGTCAAATGAAAACAGGGCCTGATGTGATATCAGACTGTCAGGACTATGAACTGCAAGTATTTTATGAAGCGGCCAATCACATTCAGACTTTCTAGACAGGTCATAGTATTGACAGGCTGGCGCACCAGGCCCCTAATGAGGGTGCACTGAAGTTCAGATCACATGGTCTGAGGTTGCACTGCATCTGATATTGCATCAATGGGCTTATTTAACAAGTCAGTGCAAAGAGCAATGTTAATGTGATAAAGTATATCACAGCAACCAATCAGCTTTTACCTTTCATCAGTTTGCAAGTTGTAATTGGTTGCTGTGGGTTACTGCACATTGCACATTGCTGTTCGCATTATTAAAGGGTCATTACACCCAAAACTGATATTTCAGTTATTAGAGGACCTGAGTGGTGGGATGAATTCTCCTACTGGCTTCTTTCTGAGATGTTGAATTTTCACCACAGTCCTATGGAGCAGTCTCACTTTTCCAGGTGAATTTTTTCATAATTATAATAATTTCAGATCCTACAACCAATGGACGATCCCCATGGCAATAGTGGTGGCAGGAGCTTAGGCACAAGCATCTCCTTGCCAGAGTCGCCAAGCAGTATAAGAAGCCTGTAGGTAATTCAGCTCCCGAGGGTTCAACCATAACTGCAATGTCACTTTTGGGTGGGCTGGCCCTTTACATAAGCTGGCTATGTGCACTACATCTCAGGTCATGTTGTCTGAGAGGGTGTTGCATCTCGGGCAATTTTAGTTTGAGTGTGAACTGCATCTAGTATCACATCCTCTTATTGTGCACTGCATTTAATATCATTTTCTCCCACTGTGCACTGCACCAAAAAACCCCTCCACATTGCACTGCGTCTGACATCTTCACCCTACCACGCACTGTACCTGAGACAAATTCTTTTCATTGGTGCACTGCTTCTTTTATCCTCCCATGATGCATTGCGTCTCATGTCTCCCCCCTTATGATGCACTGCTCCTGTCATCATCTCCCTTCCATTATGCGTTGGGTACAGGCTCATGGCGCCTACCTGTGTTTGCTCTGCAGACCATGCTGACTGCTATCTCAATGAGCGCCATCGCTACCAATGGAGTTGTGCCAGGTAGGGGGAATTTCAGAGATGGACAATACATGGGAGATGCAGTGCGTGGGAGGGATTGGGGGTGGGGGTACACAGTACTGCTGGATGCAGAAGCAGTGTGTGTGGGGGTGTTGGAGACTTTATACTCGATGCAGACGCTTTGCATCAATCAGATTAAGGCTACGTGCACACAGGTGCTTGTCCTGTGGTTCCTCTCTGATGGAGCATAGCGTCTACGCTCTGCCAACTTTTTACATTATGAAGGCTCTTTGGCCTTGCATTTATCTTAAAAGTCAGTTACTCCTTTTTTTTCTTGTCTGCTTAAGCTGGGTTTATTTCCACCAAATGGTGATAAAATTTAACATAGCTAAGCTAGAGGGGAAGCACATGGCATAGGCCTATGTCCACAAGCACTATCCATAATTACAGGGGTATAGCTGCTGATGGAGTTATGTATTTGATAATTAAAGGATTTCACCACCTTAACCAAAAGCAGACCCCTGCTAGATACCTCCAGCCTAGTAACATGGAGGGGTCACTATCTTCCTTGCCCAGTTTGCGTTCCCTTGGTGGACTAAGTTTGCCCTTTCAGATGTACAGTAATGTGGCTGTTATATAAGTGAAAGGATGTGCCATAGTACCTTTTATCACCTGTAGTGTTGCTGCAGGTAACAGCTTGGGTCAGGGCTCCTGGGATGTATGGAAGGCAGGGATCCCTCTATATTGTTACGTGGGGAGAGGTTCCCTAGCTATTTTATATATAATTGAGGAAACCCTCTATGATGTTTACAACAAAATAGTAATTGGTGTAGCAATATGTCTTAAGGTACTAGCATAGAAAGTATTATTTCTAATATGTTGTGTTATAATGTAGAATAGTGGTAGAGTATTCAGCACAGAGGCCTCATACTTTAAGTACAGCAGTACCTGGGTGCAGTGCTATTGGAATGCAGTGCATTGATAACTACTGCAGTGGTATGAGGTGTGGTGCAGTGATACATTGTACAGTGTTAAATCCATGTTTTCCAGTATGTGTACCTGAGACTCTTGTCTATCTGTAGCTGGAGGTTCATATTACATGATATCTCGCTCACTGGGCCCGGAATTTGGAGGCGCTGTGGGTCTTTGCTTTTACCTGGGAACCACATTCGCTGGAGCCATGTACATCCTGGGACCATTGAGATTCTCCTGGTGAGTAACAGATGAAATATGTTCCTGTTTTGACCATCCTTAGACATCTAATATTGATTATGGAAGTGGATCCTGTCTATCTCTTACTGAGCACATTCGGGGAATGTTTAGATACAGAAAAGAGTCATCTTCCACAGCGATGGGCAAATAGTACAGCACAAAAGGGGATCAGCCCAGTGCCCAGGAATCTTAGTTCATCATTTCAGATAGCTCAGGGTCATATTTATGATCACAATTAAAGCACTCAAAGACAAACACAGCCATTGATGGCTCTCATTTGATAGTGATTGCCAACAACGAAGTGCTGAAAAATACTGCAGGTCTCAAATCACCTTGAAACATGGCAGCACTTATTTTTGGCACAGGGTTGGGTAAGTGATCATGGCCTGAGGTTTTCAGCAAGGACAAGGTGAGTCTTCGGTGTTTAAAGGGTTTTAGGTTATGAACCATTGGTTTCAAGAGTTTTAGGTTATGGGGTGGCGTTGGTGTCAGTGGGTTATGTCTAGGTGTTAGAGATGGGATTAAAGCAGCATTGTCAGTTGCAATCTTAATGCCAGTTCCATGCAATATAAAAGCTACCACTTTGGTGGCCAGTGTCTCCTAATTTTCCTTGTTCATGCACTACAGTCTCCATCATAGTCTTCTGCATTCAACACTTCTGGGATTATTGAATGCTTGTGACCTGCTACACACTATAGTTTTATCAATCGACCTGCTATGTTCTATGCTTGGTTCTGTAATGATGTAGAGGTCCAGAAATTATCAAAGAGTCTGGTGCAGGCTGTAGTGCTAGAACAGAATAAAGGTAAGAGACACATGTTGCTGAAGAGGTGAGTTTATTAGTTCTTCTGCAGGAAAATGGTATTAGGATATTTTTAGAGCCTGACAGGGTCACTTGAAGTTGGAACTAAAGTCTACATTGAGGTGGGTGGGCACTTGCCACAATGTAAATCTGATCAACCTTTCTCTTTTACCAGACGTATATCTTTCCTGCTATGGCCATCTTTAAAGCTCAAGACGCCAGTGAAGAAACCGCTGCCCTCCTGAATAATATGCGTGTATATGGCACATGTGTGCTTACCTGCATGGCCATCGTAGTCTTTGTGGGAGTGAAATATGTCAATAAGTTTGCTCTTGTGTTCCTGGGCTGTGTGATCCTCTCCATTCTGTCCATCTACGCTGGTGTGATAAAGTCTGCATTTGACCCACCAGATTTCCCGTAAGTTCATATTTGAATTTTCAGATAGGATGTCCAGATTCTAGGCTTTCATTAACAATGAGGTACCTTGATTCCATGTATAAAAAAAGAATAAAGGAAAGCAAAGGTTTTTTCCCAACAAATGTCAAATTCCAAATCTCCCACAGTTTGGAAAATTAAGTGAAAACACTAGTTGGTTATTGCGGGTGACATCTTCACATTTTCTTGTCAACATTTTCAAAAGAGAAGTCTGTTGTGTCAATTAGAGCCATGGAACCCAACCTTTGTCTCAGTGTGACAGCCCAATCCTGCTCTCCTTGTGACAACCTAGTTGTGCTTCCAGTGTGACACCCCAGTTCCGCTATCAGTGTGAAACTCTTTCCAGCTCACTGTGAGACAACTAAGTCCTGCTCTCAGTGTGACAACCCAGTCCTGTGTGTAGTGGCAACCCAGTCCCACTCTCAGTGACAGCCCAGTCCTGCTCTCAATGTGACAGCCCAGTTCTGCTCTTAGTGTGACAGTCCAGTCCTGCTCTTATGTGACAGCTCAGTCCTACACTCATTGTGACAGCTAAGATCCGCTCTCAGGGTTATAGCCCAGTCCTGCTCTCAGTGTGACAGCCCAGTCCCGCTCTCAGGGTGACAACCCAGTCCTGCTCTCAGTGTGACAGCCCAGTCCTGCTCTCAGTGTGACAGCCCAGTTCTGCTCTCAGTGTGACAGCCCAGTCCTGCTCTCAGGGTGACAACCCAGTCCCGCTCTCAGTGTGACAGCCCAGTCCTGCTCTTAGTGTGACAGCTCAGTCCTATGCTCATTGTGACAGCTAAGATCCGCTCTCAGGGTTATAGCCCAGTCCTGCTCACAGTGTGACAGCCCAGTCCCGCTCTCAGGGTGACAAACCAGTCCTGCTCTCAGTGTGACAGTCCAGTCCTGCTCTCAGTGTGACAGCCCAGTCCTGCTCTCAGTGTGACAGCCCAGTCCTGCTCTCAGGGTGACAACCCAGTCCTGCTCTCAGTGTGACAGCTCAGTCCTGCTCTCAGTGTGACAGCCCCATCCTGCTCTCATTGTGACAGCCCAGTCCTGCTCTCAGGGTGACAACCCAGTCCTGCTCTCAGTGTGACAGCCCCATCCTGCTCTCATTGTGACAGGCCAGGCCTGCTCTGAGGGTGACAACCTACTCCTGCTCTCAGTGTGACAGCCCCGTTCTGCTCTCATTGTGACAGCCCAGTCCTGCTCTCAGGGTGACAACCCAGTCCTGCTCTCAATGTGACAGCCCATTCCTGCTCTCAGTGTGACAGCCCCGTCCTGCTCTCATTGTGACAGCCCAGTCCTGCTCTCAGGGTGACAACCCAGTCCTGCTCTCAGGGTGACAACCCAGTCCTGCTCTCAGTGCGACAGCCCAGTCCTGCTGTCATTGTGACAGTCCAGTCCTGCTCTGTGTGACAGCCCAGTCCTGCTCTCATTGTGACAGCCCAGTCCTGTATTCAGTGTGACAGCATACTCCTACTCTCAGTGTGACAGCCCAGTCCTGCTCTCAGTGTGACAGCCCAGTCCTGGCTCTCAGTGTGACAGCCCAGTCCTGCTCTCATTGTGACAGCCCAGTCCAACACTCAGTGTGACAGCCCAGTTCTGCTTTCAAAGTGACAGCCCAGTCCTGCTCTCATTGTGACAGCCCAGTCCAACTCTCACTGTGACAGCCTAGTCCTACTCTCAGTGTGACAGTTCAGTCCTGCTCTTAGTGTGACAGCTCAGGCCAACTTTCATTGTGACAGCCAAACCCCGCTGTCAGTGTGACAGCCCAGTCCTGCTCTCAGGGTGACAGCCCCGTCCTGCTCTCTGTGTGACAGCTCAGTCCTGCTCTCGTTGTGCAGCCCAGTCCTGTATTCAGTGTGACAGTCCAATCCTGCTCTCATTGTAAGAGCTTAGTCCTGCTATTATTGTGACATCCTAGTCCCGCTCTCAGTGTGACAGCCCAATCCTGCTCCCATTATGACAGCCCATTCCTGCTCTCATTGTCCCCCGCCTTTACGTTCAGTTTGGTTTTCCATGGACTCCAGTCCTCCATTATGTAATTCACCTTTATGTCTCATTAGAACAGTTATCAGATTTTCGCCTTGTTTTTCCATTTTGCAGTTGTCTATCCATGAGCACAAGCAGTTGAGCCAACCAGTCATAAAAACGATAAGGAGAAGAGACATTTTGACATCTGCTTTATAGAAAAAAGCTGGCCAGGCAGGATTCACACTTCCAGAGATAGCTTGGCTAGAAACAAAGATGCCTGCAGTTGCTTGGAGAAACTGTTTAAATTAAAAGGAAAAAAAAACCCTGAGATTCTCACGCTTCCCATTCTGTAAGATATCAGTAACTATACCCAGAGGCAGAATGATTCTTGCTCTGTTCTTTAGTGCGGAGTGGCAGACTGCCACAAAGATCAAACTGTTTTTCTATGCCCACAAGAAGCCTAATGCATTTCCCTGGGAGAGTATCAGAACTTTTGTGCACAATTATGATTAAAGTAATTGGATTTGTTTGTAGTTTCTATTTTAAGGGAAGCAGATGTCTTCCTTGGTGCAAGGTCTGACATAATTACTTAATATATGCAAAAATTGTACTGAAGACAACACTGTATAGCAGGATATCGCCCAGGAAATTGCAGCGCTAAACAGTCTGCTGTTAACTCCTGGGTGGGAAAGTCATGATAGAAGAAAAGGTGATCAAAGACATAATAAAACCACCATTCTCACAAATGGAACTGGTTGTCCTAGAATGAGACACATTTATCTGGGGTATATATGGGTAGCATGTAATCAGATATAACATTGTCCATTAAAAATCACTATTATAGTGTTAATAATTTACTTCTTACTCTATTGAGTATATTAGGCTCTACGCTCTCTAGGGAATTCATAAATTATGTATATAATGCCGCTTAATGTAGAGTCAACCTGCTTGGCTAAAATTCGTCCTCTCATTCACAGATGCTTATTTAGTGCAGCAGTGCAAATGGAGATTTTGCATTGCAATCCATAGCAACCAACCTTGGCAACCATCTTTTATTGGTTACGAGAAGGATGAAAGATGACTGCTGTGATTACCACACTTAAGCTTTGCATTAATAAATAAAGGATTGTATGCTAGTGGAGAAAAATTGATACCATGCTTGTTTTGTTAGCAGTGATTTGCCCCCCCGTCCAGCACTGGTATTCTGCATGTATTGTAATTCTTCAGCAAAATCACAGCCCCCCCTTTCCAACTGAACCCAAAGTCAACCACCCCATTCAACAGCAGAATTCAGAATTTCAACAGGATAATGAAAAACTCTTGCATGATCGTCACTAAAAACAGCGGCGTAGAAGGTCTACTGTCAGGAAGCATATCATATAGGTACACTCCTACAAGGTCAAATAGGAGCGTATGCTCAAATTAAAGGATAAATTCACCTTTTAGTAAAAAATTATAAATGCACATTTTTTTGCAGGTAAAAAATGTACATATATTATTTTTATCAGTAAGACAAGCATTGCACCTGCCATCAGCAGATTGCACATGACAGCTAGCGGGGGAGAGAAGATCCCCCACTAGCTTTCAAAGCAGGGAGCGGGGGCTGGTCAGATCGTAACATGCTACATGTTTACACCCTGAGTATGTGTGTAACATGTAACATGTTACGAAAGTGGAACTTATCCTTTAAACACATGACGTGGAAAAGTAAAACAAATGCAGTATATCTTTGCAATATCTCTGCTCTTAACTAAAGTAAGGTTTTATTCAGGGGAGGACCATTTGGCAGTGCCCGGGGTCGGTAGGGGGCCCCATGAGATGCCCCTGGTACCTTTCTCATAGGCTTTTTGAGTTTGGGCAAGGACACAGGGGCCCCATGATCCCCTATTTCCTGGGGCCCCATGAGTTGTCAGTCCGCCCCTGGTTTTATTCCAAACATATAATAGGTGCAAAACAGGGCAGGATATAGCCTATCTGATCTGGAGGTGCATTAAAAAAAGTCAGGGGGTGTAATATCAACACTGTGTGTGAGTCACTGACAGTCTGTCACACAGTGCCACAACCAGGGAAATGCTAGTATGTATTAGACTGTTTTTAGATTAGGGTGATTAAAAAGAACCTGTGTCCCCCCTTATATCAGATGTACCTATCAAAGTCCCCCTTCACATCAGGAGTCCTTATTAGAGTCCATTTTACATTATGAGTACTCATCAAAGTCCCCCTTTACATCATGGTTCCCATCAGAATCCCCCCTTACATCAGCTGTCCCCATCAGAGTCCCCCCTTACATCAGCTGTCCCCATCAGAGTGCCCCCTTACATCGGATTTCCCCATCTGAGTGCCCCTTACATCAGATGTCCCCTTCAGAGTGCCCTTTACATCAGGGGTCCTCTTCAGAGTGCCTTTTTGCATCAGGCTCCCCATCAGAGTGATCCCTTACATCAGATTTCCCCATCAGAGCATCCCCTTACATCAGATTTCCTCATAAGAATGCACCCTTACATCAGATTTCCCCATCAGAGTGCTCCCTTACATATGATCAATTATCCTCATCAGCATGTCCCCTTACATCAGGTGTTCCCTTCAGGGTGCCCCCCTACATCAGGTCCCACCCTTACATCAAATTTCCCCATCAAAGTGCCCCCTTACATCAGATTTCCCCATCAGAGTGCTCCATAACATCAGATTACCCCATCAGAGTGCCCCCTTACATCAGGTGTCCTCATCATTGTGCTCCCTTACATCAGATTTCCCCAACAGAGTGCTCCCTTACATCAGATTTCCCCATCAGAGTGCTCTCTTACATCAGATTTCCCCATCAGAGAGTGCTCTCTTACATATGATCAATTATTCCCATCAGAGTGCTCCCTTACATCAGGTATCCCCATCAGAGTGCTCTCTTACATATGATCAATTATTCCCATCAGAGTGCTCCCTTACATCAGGTATCCCCATCAACGTGCCCCCCCTTATATTAGGTGTCCCCATCAATGTGCCCCCTTACATCAGGTGTCCACATCAGTGTGCTCCCTTACATGGATTTTCCCCATCAGTGTGAACTGGAGGGACACAACTAAAATCTGGGGGGCACAGCCCACCCCAGCACCCCCTTAGATCAAGCCCTGATGCAAAAGCCAACACTTTTTGGGAACCACACATTACCCCCTTCATTAGGGCTTGCAGTGGTTGTAAACCCTTACATATACCCAGTGAAGCGACTGGCCTCAGGTGAGACACAGAGATGAAACAAATCCTCCTACATAAGTTGCACCTCTTTATCTGTAGTCTTTTCTTCTCTATATCTGTTGAAAGTGCTGAATTTCTCAAGTTTGTCTGAGAGTTCAGAAAAAAGGGGGCGGAGAGCTGAAATTACACTCTGCAGAGCTCAGTGAGGACAGCTGTGAGAGCTGATTGGAGGGAAGAGATACACACCCCTCCACACAGCTCACAGGAACAGAGCTGAGGCTATCAATCAGCTGGAGTTCCCTTCCCTGTCACCATTTTTCTCTTGGTGTCAGGAAAACCTGTCAGAAGTATTTCATGCTGATAACAGAGGAATGAGGTAGCAGACAGAAATTACACTTTGTTCATATTTCATGTCTGAGGTTTACAACCACTTTAAGGAAATATGAAGTCAGCTAGTATGGACTGTAATGTATAGTCTGGATATCTGAAAAAACTGAGAAACTTTCAGCAGCTGGTTTGGGCTTCCTAGGATTGCTCCTTAAGCAATGATTCCACTTCCCAACACATAATATTAAAAGAAAAATGTCATGCTTTGGCTGGTAATGCTCTTTTAACTTTTTAATTGTCACCCTTGTGCTATCAGTTATGCCATACTTACTACAAGTTCTCGTGTGCATTTTTCAGAATCTGTCTCCTTGGCAATCGGACTTTATCCAGGAAGGGTTTTGATGTCTGTGCTAAGTTTATTGAAGTTGGCAATGAGACTGTCACCAGCAAGTTGTGGGCTCTTTTCTGCTCCTCGCCATTGCTGAATGCCACATGTGACCTGTACTTCTCCCAAAACAATGTGACGGAGGTTCAAGGCATCCCAGGAGTTGCCAGTGGACTTATCAGAGGTAAAAATTCAAAGACTTTGGGGATGTCTTGACTGTGATAAATAGATAGTTTTGATCATTTGTATTAAATAAAGAGATATGCCGAGAAAAGAGAATTTAAAAGAGAAGTTCAGGACTATAAAAAAACAAGCAACCATACTCACCTAGATGGATGCAGCATGGGTTTGATGCTACATCTGTTCCCTGCCGCATCTAAGACTGAGAACTGAGTGATTAAAGATCTCTCAGTTCTCGGTCTTCAGTGAGCAGAGAGCCGGTGACTGTCAGTCACCGGCTCTCTGCTCTGCCCTTTCAGCGATCACTGGAGAGCTGGGCTGTGGAGGGGGCATGAGTGGCTGGCTCAGGTTCTCAGCAGTTCACTGAGAGGCTGAGTCAGTTGCTGGTCCAGACATCTGGGTGGATTCCTGGCATTAAAGTTAGGATCTCTCTAGAGTCTGGACCGGCTCAGTGACATCAGTCAACAACGGACTTTAGCCCACTGTCGGCTGAATACGGGTCACAGGAGTGCTGAACTAAGTGCAGTCCTATGATCCATAGGAGATGTAGGGTCAAAAGAGCTTTGGCTCTATTTCTCCTTTAAGGATCACTATTGTTCTTTGAATTGTTTTGGATTTTTTTTTTTTTTGAAAAGTAGTCTTTGGTTTGCAGCTATGTTGTATAACTGTAGACCAGGGGTGTCAAACTGGAGGCCCTCCAGTTGTTGCGAAACTACAAGTCCCATAATGCCTCTGTCTTTGGGAGTCATGCTTGTAACTGTCAATCTTGAAACGCCTAATGGGATTTGTAGTTTCGCAACAGCTGGAGGGCCGCCAGTTTGACACCTGTGCTGTAGACTATCCATTCTCAACCATTGTTCCTTGGAACCCTAATGTTACTCCAGATGCTGCTAGGGGTTCCTCAAGCAGTGGCAGATTGGCCTTCCATCTCATGGTACCTGCAGAGTTTCAAGGTCAACATCACTTGTCAAAGCCAAGGGCATGACACTAATGATCATTTTAGTATTCTTTGCTCTGACCACAAATGTAGGGCATTCTTCCTCCAAATGACCACAATTTAAGGCAGAAAATTTAATCTGGTTCCTAAAAAAATTTGCTCAGTAAGTGGTCCTGATGTTTTTGACCATTTTTTGTTAAAGGAGCCATCTGGAAAATGTTTGGCTGCATCCAATCAGATACAGCCACTGTTTGAATATACAATAGCTCAGCAGAGGGATTTATCCATCTTCACTGTTTAGTGTGGATGGAGGAATCTATTAGATTTCTTTTGTTCAGTCCGCAGGATGGATGAAAGAAATCTTACAGTGAATGGACCAATGTAAGTATGTCAAAAATGCATTACCTAAACTTCAGCTTTAGAAGTTATCTTTTGGTGGCAACGTGGAAGGTTTAGACCCTTTGCAAGGATTTTATTTCTATCTACACCCCCATTAGAGAGATTTGCCCTCACTTTTTTGCACCTATGTTGGGTGTCACTCAAAACAGGACGTAAGGGAAAATCTCCTCTATAGGGACACGACATTAGTTAAAACCTGAGAGTAAATCTCAAAGGGACATACAGACAGAAAAGATGTGGTTGAAGGGTTTAAAACAGACCATAAAGATGGCAAAGGTACTTTAATGTTCTGTGGAAATATAAAACTGGATGCCTGATAGAATCCTAAATATATGATTATGTAATAAAATAGGTATAGTTATTTGTATAATATTTTAAGCTTTATATGGAGGGGTGAAACATATGCTGTCTTTCAACTTCCCCCTTTTGCTCTATAGAAAACGTGTGGTCAAGTTATTTGCCCAAAGACCTAATTGTGGAGAAAAGTGGATTGCTTTCTGCTCCCTCTGGAGACCCTGTTGACCTGGACCAGCCATATGTATTTAGTGACATGACGACTTACTTCACCCTTCTTGTGGGAATCTATTTTCCATCTGTCACCGGTAAGTGTTCCATTTTTAACCTTTTCATGACCAGAGGTCATCATAGCATACTGTAGATGCCGAATGCATCGTTAACTCAAAGTGAATGGCATCAAATATGAAAAGCTTATGAGCAAGCAGGCTCTGTATTGCAATGTTTCTTCTGCAATAAGTTCAGCTTACCTGTTCGCTCGCAGTGTTCTGTAGAACGTACACTGAGCTGTGAATGTAGAGTGCCTGTGCCAGGTTGGCTGAACTCCTGCACATGTGTAGGAGATGGGACTTCCTGCGCCAGCCAATCACCAACTGGCAGCAAGAAAAAGCCGGAGAGAATATGCTGATATGGTTTCTATGAAATGCTGGCTGGGGGTTGACAACCCATAGGTCTCATCCCAGAAATAAAGTTGTGTCATAATTTGTGGGCTCCTTGTATATAACAGATTGGTACATCCCAGAGCAGCATCTATTTTCTGAGCCTACTCTGTCTTTGATTCCACTGCTTGCCTTAGCAACTATTGGGTTCAGTCTTTATCCAGTCAGGTAGGTATTTGTGCTACATACAGTGCCTTGAAAAAGTATTCATACCTCTTGAAAGTTTCCACATGTTGTCATGGTACAAACAAAAATGTAAATGTATTTTATTGGGATTTGTGTGATAGACCAACACAAAGTGACACATAATTGTGAAGTGGAAAATGATAAATGGCTTTAAAAATTTTTTACAAATAAATATCTGAATAGTGCGGCATGCATTTGTATTCAGCCCCCTTTACTCTGATACCCCTGACTAAAATGTAGTGGAACCAATTGCCTTCTGAAGTCATCTAATTAGTAAATAGAGTCCACCTCTGTGTAATTTAGTCTCAGTATAAATACAGCTGTTCTGCGAAGAGGTTTGTTAGAGAACATTAGTGAAAAAACAACATCATGAAGGCAAAGGAACATAACAGACAGGTCAGGGATAAAGTTGTGGAGAAGTTTAAAGCAGGGTTAGGTTATAAAAAAATATCCCAAGTTTTGAACATCTCACAGAGCACTATGCAATCCATCTTACGAAAATGGAAAGAGCATGGCGCAACTGCAAACCTACCAAGACATGGTCGTCCACCTAAATTGACAGGTCGATCAAGGAGACCTTTAATCAGAGAAGCAGCCAAGAGACCCATGGTAACTCTGAAGGAGCTGCAGAGATCCACAGCTCAGGTGAGAGAATCTATCCACAGGACAACTATTAGGCATGCACTCCACAAATCTGGCCTTTATGGAAGAAAGCCATTCTTGATATAAAGCCATAAGAAGTCCTGTTTGCAGTTTGCCATGTGGGGGACACAGCAAACATCTGGAAGAAGGGGCTCTGGTCAGATGAGACCAAAATTGAACTTTTTGGCATAAAAGCAAAACGCTATGTGTGGCAGAAAACTAACACTGCACATCACCCTGAACACACCATCCCCACTGTGAAACATGGTGGTGGCAGCATCATGTTGTGGGGATGCTTTTCTTCAACAGGGACATGGAAGCTGGTTAGAGTTGATTTGAAGATGGATGGAGCCAAATACAGGGCAATCTTAGAAGAAAACTTGTTTGAGTCTGCAGAAGACTTGAGACTGGGTTGGAGGTTCACCTTCCTGCAGGACAATGACCCTAAACATACAGCCAGAGCTACAATGGAATGGTTTAGATCAAAGAATATTCATGTGTTAGAATGGCCCAGTCAAAGTCCAGACCTAATTCCAATGGAGAATCTGTGACAAGACTTGAAAATTGCTGTTCACAGATGCTCTCCATCCAACCGGATAGAACTTGAGCTGTTTTGCAAAGAAGAATGGACACAAATGTCCCTCTCTAGATGTGTAAAGCTGGTAGAGACATCCCCAAAGAGACTTGCAGCTGGAATTACAGAGAAAGATGGTTCTACAAAGTATTGACTCAGGGGGTCTGAATATAAACGCACGCCACACTTTTCAGATTCTTAATTTAAAAAAATTTTGAAAACCATTTATGATTTGTTTTCCACTTCACAATTATGTGCCACTTTGTGTTGGTCTATCACATAAAATCCCAATAAAATACATTTATGTTTTGGTTGTAATATGACAAAATGTGGAAAATTGCTTTCACACTGATGCGCTGCGATTTACCCACACCACGGGAGCAGTGCAGTGTGCCTGCATCTTTCCTGCGGGTCTGCTACACTTATCCATAGATTTTGTAGGTTTGATGCATTTTCTGAAAAAAAACTTCTGAGTGCAGGAGCCCAAAAAAACAACAAAAATGTACCTACGAACACCTATACTAGTGCCTAACTAGGAGGGTGCTGCATTTGCTAAGTGACTTAACCGCAGGGTTTTACCCCAGGGTTTGTTTTCTCAGAGAATAGGTGCAGGTATTCCCCCCCTGCCGAGTCACTCCTTGATTCCGCCCCCTAACCACATCTGAGCACTATCCCTTAGTCCCACTCCCTACCCACTACTACTAGTACCGCCCCATTTAGAGAATTCAGAACCAGGTATCACTTTTGTATGCAATTTGTGAATGATAACAGAAAGAGCATTAAATAGATCCCCTGCAGCTAACAACAATAGATCCTCCAAGCAACAATAGACACCAACCCCCAGCAGCAATAGGCCAGCCCTGCAACAACTGATCCACCCAGCATCAACAGACCCTCAATAAACAATAGGCTCTCCCAGCAACAATAGACTGCCCCAGGCAACAATAGACCCCCTTCAAAATACCACCCCAGCAACAACAGATCGTCCAGCATCCAGTAACAGTAGATCATCCCCTCAACAGTAGATCCCTCCCAGCAACAATTGATCTAATCCCCAGCAAGATAAGACTCCCCCACAACAATTGATCCACCCATCATCAACAAACTTTCAAGAAACAATAGACTCTTCCAGCAACAATAGATCCCTCAGGCAACAATAGATCCCCTACAAAATACCACCCCAGCAACAACACATCGTCCAGCATCCAGTAACAGTAGATCATCCCTCAACAATAGATCCCTCCCAGCAACAATTGACCTAATCACCAGCAACATAAGACTCCCCCACAACAACTGATCCACCCAGTATCAACAAACCTTCACGAAACAATAGTCTCTCAAAGCAACAATAGATCCCCCAGGCAACAATAGACCCCCTGCAAAATACCACCCCAGCAACAACAGATCATCCAGTAACAGTAGATCATCCCCTCAACAGTAGATCCCTCCCAGCAACAATTGACCTAATCACCAGCAACATCAGTCTCCCCCACAACAATTGATCCACCCAGCATCAACAAACCGTCAAGAAACAATAGGCTCTCCCAGCAACAACAGATCCCCCAGGCAACAACAGATCCCCCAGGCAACAATAGACCTCCTGCAAAATAACAGCCCAGCAACAACAGATCATCCAGCATCCAGTAACAGTAGATCATCCCATCAACAGTAGATCCCTCCCAGCAACAATTCATCTAATCCCCAGCAACATATGACTCTCCCATGACAATAGATCCCCCAGCAACTAGCATGATTAGACCCTCCAGCACCCCTTGTCATTACATACATTCAATGTTAGAGGTGGCGGAACTGCGTTCCTCCACGTTCCCACAGAGAAAAAAACCCTGGTTTTACCACCCTCCAACTTTACATGTGAACGAGTCCTTAGGATTCTGCTATTGCATGCAGCTAAGGGCCCATTCACAACTGCTGCTCCTCTAAACAGTGTGCTTGACAGCTGGTTAGAAGGTGATATGTTGCCTCCTCATCACCTGATTTAAACCCATGAATGCCGTACAATGCACGCGATTGCGACACGGTAGTACTCTAATTAGGTCTTTGACTTCTCCCATGTTGTTCAGGTAGATCTCCACCTCTTTAAAGGTTGCCTACCCCTGCTTCAAGATGTACATCAGTGCCATGTGTCCCAACACGTGTTGATGTGCATCCTGTCACACACTGACATTTGATACAAAGTGTATTGCGTGGCATGTTACTAACGTGTGACAACATAGTGACACATACCGACATGCATTTCCATTGTTTTCTATGGAAAATGCAGAGGTGTGAATAGGCTCCGAGAGGGGATATTCCACACATTCACTTGACTACAGGTTCACATACTGAAAATATTAGAATCTCCCATTTACTGTACATACTAAATCTAAACTAGAAGCAGAAGTACTGCTACAGGGCGCCACGGGTACGCAAAATATATGTTTATATATGTGATTTTGCATTTCCGATAGGGGGCGCGCACGAGGCATGCGCACACCCTACCTGCGCCGCCATTCGCAGCCACAGCTGTCAGTCACGGGGTCCCGGACGAGCATCTTTGGGGGGGCTGTTTGTAAACAATACAGATCTCTCCCATGTCAGCTCCTGTACCCTGCTTTGCATGGCTCTGCATAGCAGAGCCATACAAAGCAGTGTGCTTACAGCGAAGCACAAACACAGCCCAGTATGCAAAACAGCACACAGTTAACCCTTTGATCGCCCCACATGTTAACCCCTTCCTGCCCAGTGCCATTAGTACAGTGTCAGTGCTTTTTATTAGCACTGATCACTGTATTGGTGTCACTGGGGATGTAAGTGACATCAAGCCAGTTCCCCACAGTTTTAGAATGACTGCCACAGTCCTGCTATAAGTCACTGATCGCTGCAATTACTAGTAAAAAAAAAAAAAAAAAAATTCCAGTATATATACCTCCATTTGTGGATGCTATAACTTTCATGTAAACCAATTAATTTACACATATTGGGATTTTTTTTTAGCAAAGACATGGAGCAGAATAAATTTTAGCCTAAATTTATGACGAAATTTGATTTTTTTAATTTTTGTTACTGGACATGTTTAACCTCCTTGGCGGTATTCCCGAGTGTAGCTCGGGGTAAAGTTTCAGTACCAAAAGCGGTAACCCTGAGCTACACTCGAGCTTACGATGCGGCGTTGCTCAGGGAGTCCCTGCAGCACTTACCTTGTCCTTCGCTCCCACAATGTGTCCCCTGCAGCATCCCCGGCCATCTC